GTTTCAATTTGATTTAATTAAATATCCAGAATTTTGTTAACTATCCAATTTCAGTGGAGCACAAAGTCAATTGAAGTTTCCTCGCATGTCTCTTGACTTTCAATTAATGCAATTTCGTGATCATGAACGTTGGTGGTTACAGTCTTGTTCAGTTCAAATTGACCGTACTTTCGAAGTGTCTTCGTTCGTTTGGAACGGGAGACAGACTTTCCAAATGCTATATGCGATCGAGCGGGATTGAAAAGGATATAGGACGTACTTATGTACTTTGCTACTCACTTGTATTTGATGGGAGTTTGAAGCGACGTATGCATTTGAAAATTCGTTGATGTCCTGCCATAAATTGATATTTAGACTAAATTAAAGTTAATTAACCTTAAACGGATGTGACGTATACAGCCATGACAAATACAAGGGCAACGTCAATGAATACGTGAATTTTACTCAAGACCAAGTCCAAGGGCAAGCTAAGGTTACTAGAAATTGTATTCCTTTGAAAATTCTAGTACGCCGTAGTTATTCAAACTGGTACGCTATTTACATCATTTTCACGGCTCATATCACGCCAACACTCAACAGTCAAAATATTCGAAAGTCGTGTTGGGTGTTTTACTATGATTTCACTATCCCTACTTAAGGAATGTTGTTTGTAAAGAAAGATAAGTACCTTTAAGAGGTATATAAAGTTTAGTAATTTATGCTTTGGCTCGCTTACAAAAATGTAAGCAATTTTGTTTTCTGCTCTTGCTGTTGTCGGTTGCCAAACTTTAATTTCTGGAAGCAAAGACAAAGTATTTTCGAACACGACGGCGAAATCGCTTCAGTGCAAAGGCCGATACAGACCGCGGACGCAATAGACCTATCCCCTTATGAGTGAAATTTTGATCTAGATATGCCTGGACAAAAATTTCATCACAGCTTCAAAGAGCATAACAAAATTAGTAATATTCCGAAGATTCGTTGCGAAATGTTGTAAAATGCGGATAATATATAGCCTTGTGAAGTTTGCCGTTTTTCAGTCATTTTGCATTACAAACGGGAAATTGATAATGAGATGATCAAACTGATTATCAATTTCCATTTGTAAAACAAAATGACTGAAAAACGGCAAACTTCGCAAGGCTATATTATCCGCATTTTATACAACATTTCGCAACGTACGAAACTTCGGAATACACAAAGAGAAATAAACTTTATATTAATTTTAAACGATGTTTGAAATTTGAATCACTAAATACGGCTCACACACTTGGAAAACAACCACTCAGAGGCCGACTTTCGCTGGTGTTTCCCAGCCGCCTCAGCAAGCCTCCTCAGAGGATATATTGCAGGCTCTGGTTTCGAGATTGCGAGGAATTATGCGATTACTTGTTAATCATGCATAGAGGGCAAAATTTATTCGTAAGTAAATTTATTGCGAACTTGTCAAGTTCTTGAACCTCGTATGTCTCCATGTCATTCTCGATCTTCCTTAACGAGTGCCCAATCCTGATTTGTACTTTTTCTAGTGGTCCAGTTTTCACAATTTCACTCGAAGTTTTTAATTCTTCAATAACATCATTGTCCCCTGACAAGAATTCAAACTTCTTGCGAAGTGCATTTTAGCCAATCAGGTACAACTAATTTTGCCCTGAATTAAGAAAAAAATGCCCTCATCATTAGCCAATCATATATGATCATACCTGAAATTTGAACTTATTTATAATTTTTAATTTGAGTGTATTAATTGTAATAGAGCTTTTTTCTGATTGATTTTTACTAAGTTGCCGAAAAAAAGAGGGGTCTGAGAGCCCTCCCCCAGAAAATGTTCACATTTTTGAAGCTCCAGGACAATCTCCGGTCGCTACGTCCTGGCTATAACATTTTGAGTTATTTGGTCTACATATATTTAAAAATTTCCTTTCATTGGCTGTTTTATTAACTTTCAAATACTGAAAAATCGCGCCGCGTTGTCGAATGGCGTCCGGTGTGTCTCCATAGTCGTACGGGACGGGAGGCAGGGGGGGCACCTGCCCCCCCCCCAAATAAATTACAAAGTCGAAAAGTCGGCAAATGTTCAACAAAAGTCGGGCAAAAGTCGGGCAAAAAATAGTCAAAACAAGAAAATCTCTCTTAATAATAACCCCAGTTTGTTGGGCAAACAAAGCCAGTTGGGCAATATTCGCTATACAGTCGGGTAATATTTAGTTATGATAGAAATAAATGGGACAAATTCTGTAAATTTTGTGGGAAATTATGTCAATTTTTCGATTTTGGGGAAAATTTGGGGGGGGGGGAGGTCGCCAAAATAAGTTGTTCCAGAAAAATTTTTTCGGCACTTGTCGGGCACAATTGGAAAAAGTCGGGCAAATTTCTTTCTGCCCCATAATTTTTTCCTTCCCGTACGCCTATGTGTGTCTCGACCTTAAGTGTTCATCTGTAAGTGTTCCTTTAAGCTGAACTAAAGGTAGCTTCTTTTAATTAAATTTGAAAGGGAGGGGAAATGGAGAATATTGACGGTGCGAACGTTGTTGTGGTGGCTTTCCTTTGCATGTGAATCCATCAGCGATATTAATCCATGATATTAAGTCGATATTAATTAAGTCGACTCGCATGCACTCCGATAATTCGAATGATAATTAGAAACGGAACAAACAAGTCGTACAGCGCATGCGTATATCACCACTCACACCACAACAATTGGAACTGAATGATAACTATTTAATGCAAAATGCTAAAATTTACCTTATATTTTACGATTTCCTATAATATCAATTCAATTTTTCTCGACCTTTGATGGCCCATAGATTTCAAGCAAAACTACGACTGTTTACATGAGAGCGGCCGAAGTCAAGTTCAAAGCCAGCATGCAGTCTCCTGTGCGTGATTGCTGCCGCAGCGAGCGAGCCTGAAGCGAGCGAGCAAGGCAGCAGATCCTAATTTTGTCTTGTGGGTCGAAATCAAAATTTTCTATTTGGCGCATTGCATGACGGTACCAGTGAATTTTAACCGTGGGGCAGCGCGGTCAGGCATAAGGCAAATAGCAATGTGATCTTTCATCTTTGGTCTTCTTTAATGGAAAGCCAAAGCCATAGCTGGATTAAAGTGATCTAACGGCATTTTGTTGGGTGCTTTTAGCATTATACGGCGGTGGTTTCGGCATTATATGCGGTGCTTTCGCCAATATACGCGGTGGTTGGAGCCGATCATACGCGGTGCTTTCGCCATCATACCGGGTGCTTTTACCATTATACGCGGTGCTTTCACCATTTTAATATACGCGGTGGTTTCGTAATTATACGCAGTGGTTCAAGCATTATACGGGGTTCTTTTAGCATTATACGCGATGCTTTCATTCAACATTGAATATGTGGTTGACAATGCTTTTTGGTTTTTGCCTTTAGTCTGCAATGACAATGACATGCTTTAAAAAGGTTTTGATTTATGCACTTTGTAAGTTCTATATATTATCATATAGTGTTGATTTATTAGTAATAAATAAGCCATGAATACAACGCAGCGAATGCGCCAAGCAGTATGAACGCGGCTGAAATAGGATATTATAATAAAATCTTGAATGTGCCGTATGATTTAATTATGTTTTAGGATTTAAAAATGCTTTGTCATTTGTATTTATACTTGTGCTGCATCACAAGGCAGTGCGTAAGTGAACAGATTCCACATGTGAGGTTGTCTTGTATATATTTTTGCCTTCTTTGATAAACATTATTATTAAACACGCAAATTTTAATTACGCACAGTCACACATGTTAGATGTCACCTCCATGTCATTGTCCTTTAACCCCAGGGGCCGGTTGTATAAAACTCTTTAAATTAATAATCACTTTTTTAATCACCATTTTGTAGCAGGCTGATTTTGTAGTTACATAGTGATTAACTCTCAAATACGCGCATCTTATTGGATGGCGTTTCCACTAATCTAATTGGCCGTTTTTGAAAATGTTGATGTATAAATTATGGATGATTCCAATTCATTACAAATATTTCTTATTCTTGTTGCTGCCGCAGCGAGGTCGCCTGAAACTGGGATGTCACACTGATAGCTTGTTTACATTTCCTGGAGCATCAAATCTTATGTTTAACCACGGTGGTTTAACCCGTTAACTGGCAATGCGCCCTTCCCTTGTCCAGCGCCAGAAGTACTGCCAGTAAATGGGTTAACAAAACTATCTGCCAATGTCTCTTGTTAACCATCAGCACAGTATAATGACCCCTACTTTAGTATTTACCCTGACCAACGCCAGACGATTTTTAATACTCAGTCAGTCGTAGGGTACTGTCAATAAATGGGTTAACAAGCAACATTAATAGGATGTTTCTGAAGGACTCTTTCAACACCCTGTGGTTTGTCTTTTGCTGTCAAAGGCAGCATTACTGCCCTGTGGGTAACCTAGTTATTATATATTAAAGGATTCTTGTGACCGTGACATAAACCCGTGCTCATCGATTATCAATGTTTTGTCGCTCGTATTAAATATAACTCAAAACATTCAAAATTTGATTGTTGTATATGCATTGTATTAATTTCCTTGGACCTTGTCCAATATATTTATTATAGTCACCCACTTGAGGTTTTGATGATATCATCTATGTCATACAATAAAACTTTATGTTTTGCAAAAGAAAATTGTTTAAATTAAATATATCATATATGATGGGAATAATTAAATTTCTCCCGAATTTATTCAACAACTAACTTTCCTATTCAGGCTTGACCTCTGCACAGACATTGAAAGAAATATGAGATTAATGAAATGTACTCAAAGAAATAGTCATTTGGCCACTGAACGATTCCTTTCTCCTACCCGGCATACACTTGTTTTACCAGACTCGGCTGCCTGCCAGTTTCATTGTACATTTTTATCCCCGAGCAAACAACGCGAATCGCCATTTCGAGCCTAATCTCGGGGCGAGGGTACTAATTCCGCTCGGTTATTTACACCCAGATAAAGGAAAGCATTCCGCGCAGTTTAAACAGGGCCGTAGCTATAGACGCGATAATTGGGGAGGGGGTGTATATTCATATACAGCTATTTCAATTAAGGAGAGAAAGCGGAAAAGTCAAGAAAGCGGAAAAGAAAGCGGAAAAGTCGAATACGAGCGGAAAGCGGAAAAGTCGAATACGAGCTGCTGGCCGGAATCGCTATTAAACAAAGTAATGAATTTTCAAAGCGATTCCCATCAGCCTTTCGCGCTCGTATTCGACTGTTCCGCTTTGCTCGTGGACAACCTTAATTTAAGTAGCTGTACAGACATTCATGTTCACATAACAAGAATTAAAAATAATCCGTATCCTATTGCTATAAACAAAAATATCCCTTCTTATTTGTGCATGCCTAGTGATATTTTATAGGGGTCAGAGTGAGTTTTTCCTGGCTTTAGTAGTTTAGCTTCGTTCAACATTGGCAGCATCGATCATTGCAGGATTTCTGTTTGGATTCTTAACCGATCGATTTGGGAATCCCAGGTTTATGTTCGTTTCTTGTAATATAATCAAGTTCTTCGCTTGTGTGATATACAGCGTTAACGTGAGTGCATATTGCCCTCTTTTTGGAAGGTTGATGACAGGAATAGGTAGTGGGGGTACGGCAATCCTCCTGGCCTGAAATTGCATTGCAGACCGACGCAATAAGTCGTGGAAAGAGCTTTGTCTTCCTAGAAGGTGTTTACTGTCTTGGTTCAGCATTTGGTCCAGCATTGTCAGTTTTATTTCATTTCGTATCAATATACTTGGCTGGGAAATAAATGAGAAGAATTCACCCGGAGTTGTGTTGGCAATAATATGGATTCTGTTCTTTATTTTTTCACTGTTCTTATCTAAAACTATTTGGGTGGAGACCGATGCCTACAGTAAGGAACTGAGTACAAATTTAAACGCCTATCAAGATCACAAAGATCGAGTAAATACAATAAATAGTGAATACAATGGCTACCGAACATTCAATAAAGACTGTAGTTCGAAGAAGAAGCTGGCTAGAGTGATGTCGGATTCAAGAATTTTTGCTTGTTTTACCTTATCTTTACTCTTTAGCAACATGATATTTGCAAGCACGTCCACTTTCTATACCCTTATAATAGCGTTGGATCATTTCCACCTAAAACTAATTCACACTAAGTTGATATTCTTGAACTCTACCTTACTCACAATGCTGACATTCATTTGTTTAATTTTATCTTGCTTCAGGATATTTTGATGAACGAAAACTCTTCTTAAATGTTTTGTTTATGCAACTTTTTTCCATCTCGATCGCGTTTCTCACGTGTCTGGCTTTCTTCTGGGATCAAGTTACTGCATGATGTTCAATACTATTTTTTACTTTTATACATTTGTCTAGATATGCTATATTTTGTATATCCATTCGCAAATTCAGTTCTTTCAAAGATAACCGACCCTGGGCTTGCGGCATTTACCCAAGGTTTATCAGTACGCTACTCTACACGTCGTCTATACGTAATAGGTCGTGTTGACTGTTGTGGTCAGTTTTGTGTTCACCAATACGAGTTTGATATATTTCTGTTTTCAGTGTTTTGGCTTGGTTACCTGTGGGTGATTGGTATTATATGGTTTGGTATATTGTACAAAAGAATGATCCAGCATGACTGAGGGAGAGCTTCGGTGGCAGGGTCGTCAGAGCAAGCGCCTTTCACCTCTGAGGTCGTGGGTTCGAGTCTTGCTACAGACACATGTGAAAAGAGTCTGTCAACGTTCTGCCGAAAGTTGTGGTGTTTCTCCAGGCGCTCTGGTTTCTTCCCACTTGCCCACAGAGAAAATTGACAGAGTGCGTTAGAATAAACATAGTTATGAAAGCAATATCATAATTGTTGTAATGATGCAGTAAGTCTAGGTTAAGTACACGGCTAAAAACGATCACGTTGTTACAATAGTTGATGAAAACAGGATTGAACCATGTTTTGCTGCCCACATTGTTCACAGTTGTCAACAATATTGAACAATATTGTTACACATGATTCAGGCTCAACAATATTGTTCAATATATTGTTGACAAGTGTTAACAACGTAAGCAGCAAAACATTGTTCAACCCTGTTAAACAGTGGGCTCAGCGTTTTTTCACGTGTAAGTGACATAAGCAAGCGTAATACTTGATATAATCGGGTACTTATAAAAGTCCCAATATAATAATTGAATATAATAATGTAATGTAATATTTTCCTCGATATTAAATATTCAGACAACAAGGATTTCATCATTTTCGTCCTGAGTTCGTCACTATAGAGGTTCAGATTTGACTTCCACTTCCATTACCCATGAATGCGTTTGATATGTTCGATTAACCAATCAGATGCGTATTAACTAAGCCAGTTAGAGGTAGTTGTATTTCTCCCAGCTAATTCCAGTTATTTTCTAACGGATCGCATTGCTAACCAAGCGGTTATCAGTTCACAAAACCATAGTATTATTCTTTAAATCGATGTCAAAATACGAAATTTCAATTCGGCACACTCCTTGCCAAGATGGTGGAAATTGAAGTAGCTATTATACATATCCTGCTGGTCTCAAACTCTCAAGCTAACAAACTTCAGCTAAACCGGCCGAAGAATTGCAAAGAGCTAGTTATTTCTTTTAAGAGAACCATCTTTTGACTTAGTGGAGATTGATAATTGTCACTGATCCTTTCAAAAGGGTGCACAGTGTAAAAGTCCTAGGAGTCATGCATGATCCGGGATGATTTGAAGTGGAACGACCATGTTGATGGTATTACCGAATACCGATAAGGCTGCTATAAACGTCTATAGACTATATCTCGTTAATTAAACCGTTTATTTAAAGCGAGCTGCTGTGAATACCGAGGGTCGTCTAATAAACGCATTCAGAGACCATTGATTGATTGATTGAAGCCAACGGTGGGTAGTAGCGAAGTAGTTGTAGTTCTGTAGCGAATTACAATTTTCAAGTAGCCAGTAGTTTTTGACTACCTTTTTAAAACAGTAGCTGCAATTATAGTGAACTACATTTTGCCTAAAAGTAGCCAACGGTAGCTAGTTGACTACTTTTCAAACAGCGAATCGCTGTTCGCTACTTTTTAAAATATTTGGCAACTTGATAGAATAGCATGATGTTGCTTTGTGTTTAATGTTGGTACTCCTAAGTCGATTTGTAACATTTGTTTTAGGTTACATTACAGCTTGAGTTAGTACAGTAGATGCTCCAGAACAGTAAAACTAAAAAATATTTCGCTACATTTTGCTACATTTGCAGTAGCTGTAGTCAGTAGCGAACTACCTTTGTTCAAAAGTAGCATGCAGTTGTTGTAGCTGACTACATATTTTTGAAGTCGCTGTAGTTATAGCGAGCTACAAAAATTTTGTAGTCAACACACCCTTGATTGAAGGAAGCACTTATTTAATCACGATTGAAATATACAGCTAAAGCTGATAGGTATCAATTTTTAACTGCTCGAAAACATAGATATGTACTATTAAAGACTGGATAGCACATCTATTGTTTAGCTTTGAAGCCGGAAATACGCCATGTTTTTGGGACCGGTCGCTATACTGAATGGCACTTGACGATTGAGGGTCAATCCCATTTCCCATCTGAAATTTTGGCAAAATCCCAGTCCCAGTTGGATTTTTATTAGAAATCCCAGTACGAGTTATTGAAATCCCAGTCAATAAAAAAGCGTTATTTAGGGACGGACCATAATTTTTTGAATGGGGGGATGGAAAATTCTTTAAAAAATTGTTTGCAAAGACAAAAAAGTGCAAATAAATTGTTTGCACACATAGAGAAGAGCAAAAAATAGTTTGCAAGCTAATGAGATTATGCAACATCAACTAACGTTTATAACAATGAACAGAGTGCTCACCGACATACCCAGGATCTTAACCCCAAAAGCCCTGGGGTGGGAGACGCTGGGCACATGTCGCAATCTACATATGGGTTATAAATATTAATCTATTGAATACAGTCATTTTTAATTTTGGGTTCTTTTTTTGTTTGTTTTTTGTATAAAATAGGTAATTGGACAAGTACTGGTGTAAGACATTGTGTAGCACAAATAATGAGAGGACCAGTATCAAGGTCTTTTTAACATACAAGCCGGTGGGGGGGAAATATTCCCCTTATGCCCCCCACAAAATCACTTCCCCCACCAGGAAAAGTCCGTTTTTCCTAAATTTATACAAACAAACCAGCAAAAAATAACAAATTGATCAACAAAAAGTAAATTTTAGGCTTTATCCTTGTTTGGCAAAATCGATTTAAATTATTACGTTTTTTTACGACTAAGTAATGATAATGATTGTGTATTTTTGTGTGTATACTTAGCATAAATTTTAGAGTAAATTTAAATGCTCAGAATGCAGGAAGTGGCATTTCTGGGCTTCAAATTTCAAACATTTTCTGGGGGAATATGCCCCCAAACCCTGGGTCCTTCAGCCATTCCTAATATCTCACAGAAGGGTACCTTTTCAAAAAATGCCCCCCTCACCCGTGGAAAAATCCTTAAAAAGGCCCTGACCAGTAGTACCTAGAAAAACTATTAAATGTCTGTTTACATATTAAATTTATACTTCTGACAACAACATCACATTTGCGTTGACGAAATGTCCACCCCCCTTTCAAAAAAATAATGGTCAACATTTTAAGGTCCAACATGACGGTATTTTTTGTTGTGCTTTGCCTTTGAGGTATATACTAAGGTCTAGGGGTTAAATGAAGTATATACCGGAAACCAGCCATATATTCCGCTGTAGGCTTCTACAGATTATGCTCGGCAACTTTCTGGCAACTTTTTGCATTTGGAGCAACTTTTTATGATATCCGCAACTTGAAGCAACTTCAAAATATTTTCCTTATGCTTGGCCATTTGACAAACTTTTTAGCTTACCATTAGTCATTACTTCTACAGTTTGGGAGATCCTATGGCAGTCAGCAGCTTGACATATTTGCAAACATCCATAACAACCCCCATAACTGCAAGTTACATTAATTATGCTTATATATAATAATAGTACGAGGAAGTAAAAGGTACTGTGAAACATCTCAAACTGATTTGATGGCTTTTTACCTATTAAGTTATTATAAGACTTTATATATAGTTATGAACTATAGTTAGTTATGAACTGTTATTATTGTATTTATCTACAGTATTTAATATGCGGTCATATCTTGCTTTGCACCCACTCGTTTATTATACGAGAAACTTTTGACATTGTTAGGAGCAACTTTTTTTCAATTTTCGAGCAACTTTTGAGCAACTTATTCAATTCTCGAGCAACTTTTGATCATCATTTAGAGCACAATTTCAGCATTTTCGTAGCATATATAATCTGTAGAAGCCCATTCCGCTGTGCATCTGACTCCGGGACACGCATAATCAGAAAACCCAGAATTCCGGGCAATGCCTGTTTGCAGGTAGTGCTGTGAATATTATAGTTAACAACAAAAATCAGGCCCAAAGATGTAATTTAAAATACTCAAAACGTGGAAAAATTGGGAATCGACTCTCATATTACCTCAATCCCATTCCCATTTTTGAGGACTTCATTT